TAATCTAAGTATTTTACCATTACCTTGTCTCTTTATACATGGATCAGTGCTTTTTATCAAAAATTACTTACTTATGGGCGGGAATATATTTTTAACAAACGCTGTCTGTAATTACAACACTTGATGTAGTAATTATATTCATCAGGTAACAGTATCAACATCTCACTACAAAAAATTCACATATAATACATGTACATTATTACATTATTTTACACCTTGCCAGATGACATTAAACAATTAAATTGGATACGAAAGTTTTAAGTCCAAAGTAAAATCTTTTTTGCTGCACAACTGTTTCTATACAATTAGAGACTATACCGAGCATCCAAAAGGAAAGTAATATTAATTTTAACAATGACATTTAATGTAATGTATTATATACCATTTGGATTGTATAATTGTAAAGAACCTGTAACCAGTATTGTACTTCAGCTTCTGGGTCAATGACACCCATCTCGATCAAATTTTCGTCCAGTTTCCCTGATCCTCGAGCAAATGCTGAGATGGCCCCTTGTTTTGCTTCTGGACATAAATGTAACTTCAAATTAACTTCTCTCCATAGCACGTCACACACAGTTTTTAACTGTTTTTTATGTAAATAAATAAATATGAATGAAAACTTACGAAGTGTATAAAGAGTGCCGTTAATTACACCACCGACAGTTAACAAAGAGATTGGTTAACATCATCATATTCAACCTGTTAAGCGAACTAAATAGACTAAGTATGAACTCTAGAAGAAATGAGACTGTTTAGACAGTGGTTCATAAATGTGAAAGACTCCAAAAATATCCTAAACCAATTTATACATATGGGCATAATGGAACCAAGATATATATTTTTTTCCTTTTTAGATGTCTCTATCTTACCCAAATTAACCTACACTGAGCCTTTAATTACCATCTCACTCATTATATAATTTAATTTTATTTATCCATTGTTATTTAAAATATAAAATTTGTTACTTTTCATTTATTCTTTATTTAAAAAGTGATACTATTTTAGGAGAAATTTGTAAATTCTGTGTTATCAGGTTTCACACACAGGACTGTCCTCAGCGAGATACAAAATTATATACATATTTTGTATAACCTTTATAAGTATTTTGTTAAGTTCAAATAAAGTATTGTATTGTATTGTACTTATGAGATACAACTCATTACCCAATGGCATAGTGTTTTTTGACACATTAAAAATATTGTGCAGTGCAAAGCCGTCACCTTCAGGCCACCATACTTGTTTCCTTGTTCCTTTTAAAACTGGCTAACTTCTCAAAAAGTTTTAGCTTTGAGCTTATTATAAATGGATTTTCTTGTTGGCTCCTGGTCTAACACTCGTCTGAGAAAAATTCTGAAAACTAGACACTGTGCTGGAGTGACATGGAAATGATGACATTTGTACCAATAATTCTAGATGCCACTGGTGAAATTCCTAAGTTTCTGCATAAATCCCTGGCTGAACTGCAACTGAAGAAGTTGTTATACATCCAGCTGCAAAAGATTGTCATGCTAGACACGTGTAACCTTGTGAGGAACTTTCTGAATATTGATGATTGATCTAGAGTGGATTATGACAGTGGCAACATATGTCTCTTGTTTATGGTAACAGAGATGCATGTATGGAAACAAGTTAAAATGTGATGATGATGATGATGATGATGATGATATTTTTTTAAGGTGCAAGATTAGCAACCTATATGCACGCGTGCTTATAGTGAAGCTACATTTAAAATCCAGAAGCAAAACAAGGGGCCATCTCAGGATTTACTCATTGGATCAGGAAAACGACAAAAACTGGCAATATAATATTGTTAAAATAAACATACTGATTATCAAAAAGAAAAATAGTCTCTTAATTGTATAGAAAGTTAGGCTGCAGAAAAGATTTTACTAATAACTTAAATTTGTGTACCAATTTTAATACTTTAATGTCATCTGGCAATATGGAGTAAAGTAACATACATGATTATATGTGGATTTCTAGTAGTGAGTTTTAGATACTGATACTTGACTAATTCCTACAATGTGTGTTGTAATTATAAATATCAGTATTGCATGGAAATATGTTCCCACTGCTAAGCAAGTGAGTTTTGACCAAAACTGCAGTCTCGTGGCTAAATGGGTATGGCAATAGTAAGAGAAGTGAAGAGTGCAGCATTTTTTTATTATCCAAATAATTTGTTCTGCAATTAAACGTTTGGGTACTGTAGGATGAGCTTTCCCAGAATATTATGCCATATCTTAGGTGGGCATATACATTTGCAAAATACACATAAAGAGCTGTATGAAGGCTGACAGAATAAGAAAGAATTCTGAAAGAGTAACATATGTACATTCCATCTGGGGTGTGAGTGAATTGCAAGACCCAGAAATTTACTTACATAAAGTTACTTTAATGTCGGCTAAATGCATATCACTCTTTTTCAATGGAGGATGTGATTGCTGGTATGAAATGCAAAAATGAATTGAAACCATTTTTCCTTTCTTCACTATTAATTTGTTATTACAAAATCAATTTGAAACATCTAAAATTGTACTATTTATTGTTTATTTTTTGCAAAGAACATTTGTGTCATCAACGTACAAATTGGGTGATCTGGGCTGTCCGGGTGACGCTGCGTCGAAGGCTGAGTTGCCGACGTTTCGACTATCCTGTCGTGGTCTTCCTCAGGGCTGGTATGCCAACACATTGCATACGAGCCCTGAGGAAGACCACGACAGGGTGGTCAAAACGTCGGCAATTCAGCCTTTGACGCGGCGTCACCCGGACAGCCCAGATCACACACATGACTCTGGCCGCGGAAGCCTACGACTTCATTTAACATACAAATTGTTCTTCCGTTTTTATGGATGAATGCATATCATTTATGTATAACCTAAGATCCAACCATGCAGAACCCCATGTGTTCAATTGGCAAAGAATTGGAAAGATAAGTAAATAATGTTATTTCATGGTAGTACAGTATTTCTACTCTTTGAGATCAATGGTAAAGGTAGAAGGTTATCCAGTCTAGGGCAATACCATGAATTCCAATTAAAATCAATATCAATAACAATAATAGCTTTCGAAAGTTCTAAAAATATTCCAATGGGTGCTTCATTTTGCTCCATTGATGAAGCAACATCTTTAAGAAAAGAAAAAATGGCAGTTTTTGTAGATATTTATTTTTTAAATTTGTGTTGGTAGTCAGAAAATGCTTTGTTTTTCCTGAGAAAAGTTTATATTCCAATACAGAAATGCCTCTCGAATCTTTTTTAGAATACTGACAAAAGAGAAATTGGCCAGTAATTTTGAATTTCATTTGTCCCTTTTTTAAAAGTGCCTTAATTTTTAATGTTTTGAAAATATCTGGAAATATTCCTGTGCATTAAGAAGCATTGAAAGCATGAGTTGAGAGGTGTATAAAAGTAGGTGAACAAGTTTTAATAAATACCGAAATTCATCCAAAGCAGATGAATATTTACTTTTTAGTTTATTAGCTTTTCTCAGGATTTACATGGAAAGAAGTTTGAGAAATATACATAATGTCAAAGACTTTTTGGGAAGCATATGATGTTGAATTTTGTGATTTTAGTCCCTTCGAGATCAGCCGCAATTCTATAAAAGTGTTGGTTGAAGAGATTCGCAGCTTTTTCTGGATTACTTGCTTCTGTCATTATCCTGTGAAACAACATCTCTACAAAGTATAAAGATGATCTAGTCATATATTTTACAATATTCCACATTGCTTTAATTTGGTGACTAGCAGTCAAAATATCCTCATTATTTTTCATAATTTTTGAGGCAACTGAAGTCGTTCTAAGGTCTGTAGATGCAAAGTAAGATCATTTTTGCGTAGTAAGATGTATGACTGTTATTTCAAAAACATTTTCCACTGCATATAAATTGAATTCTGACAAGAAGGTAGAATCAATATCACTTCTTAGGTAAATACATGAACCTGCAAGATAAAAACTTGGAATTTGAAGTGATCATTATGAGATAATAAATGCTCTGAAACAAAAAACCTTTATTTGACTTAGATCACACTAAAGTTGCCTCAATAAATTTAATTTTATGTGAAAGAGAAAGAACATTATGATGCATTCGAATCTTTTGCATGTACTTACATGGGTATTTTTCTGCTACATCAGACTGTAATTGCTCTTTGTTTATCTCATTTTTACCTGTAGTGTGTGGTCGAAGGAAGTATCGTGTCCCTGCACTGATGGGGTGAGAATGTTTGGGCGTCAGATGAAAAGGAATGAATAATGGGGAGGTAGTACAAGGATTAGGTTCAGAGGATAAGGTAATTGGGTCCAAAGGGGTTCCAGAGAGAGAACTGGGAGATATGGTTGGGGACACTACCAAGATCATGAAAGGATATGTTTTGCAAGCTCGCTACCAAATGCATGTTTTCTGACAATGGCAGGTTGAAGTGAAGACCATGCAGACTGAAGTGTTTTTGTGAGAGAAAGTGTAGCTCAAATAGTTTAACTTTTGTCCCTGTCTGATTCAGTTTCAATTGGTTGTTGGCATGTCTAATTTCTTTCCACAGTGTTGGTTTGTTCTACCAGAAGGGCAGAGTCGAGACTATAATGTTTGTGTTTTGGGAGGCATGTTGTAGTTTGTCAACACATTTAGGTGTTGATGCCATTCTGCCATCCTTTGATGATGACTATATCCTGTTTGGTAAAGAATTTTTGTGAGGGTGTTCAATTAAGTGGTTATGTTATAAACCTCCCATTAGGTTTAAACACTTTTGACAGAGAAATTGGATGGGAGTCATGTAGTGGGCATTCAAACTATTTTTAATTGTATTTCATTGATTCTTTCAACATTAGTAGAATTTATCAATAGTGCTGTAGATTTAATAGGAAAGTCACTTTTGTAGTACAGACGTGAAAATCAGGGAAGCAGTTATAGTATTATAGCTTACGTTTGATGAATTTTACTATTTATTTTCCCCACTAAAATATAATTATAATTTCTTAACTAATTTTCTCTATTTAATTGTTTAGATGCCCAGAAGATCGATTACAGTAAAATTAAAAATGAAGCTTGCAGCACCTTGCATGAATTGTCCATTTCTGCAGTTGACATGACTCTGGAAACTTCAAAGGCGCAAGATGATGGTGGTGATGACCTTAAGGCACCATATTTAAAAGTATCAGTTGGTGAGTTTCTTTCTTTTAATTTTTCTCTCCCACAATTTTGTGTCATCAGAAGTTGAGGTGTATTTTCTATATCTACTGCAGTGAAGGAAGACAATTTTAATTTTCAATTTCAGTTTTTTGGTTTGTTTACCTGCTATCTCTTCAGTATGGAAAAAAAACAACAAAAACTGTTTGTTATTTCCTGGTCTAATGGTAGAAAAGTATATTTTGCAATCAAATTAACAAATCACCAGTTCAATTTTGGAATGCTTTCTGATTATTTCTTTTAGTTTTCCCATGTAGCCAATATGGCATGCCTGTCATTAAGTCTAGACCCTGCACATTTTTCTTAAATCTTAATGTTTTAAGAAAATATGCCCTATGCCATTTTACTCAATACTATTTTTTTATTTTCTCAGAAATTGGCCTTCATGATTTTTTACAGTTGGTATCAATATTTTTTGTTCATTTATAGGTCCATCGTCCATCAGTTATTTGGACTTTGTCAATAGAGGATGGCAGTTTATTAAAGGAGATGGTGCAGGGAATGTGAATACTTTTTATGTGAAGGATGTAAAGTTGCAACCTACAATTGAAAATAATCTAGAGGTGAATATTTTATTGAATGTAAGTTTGCATGTGATATTTTGTTTTATGTGTCATTGAAATTATTGATTTCTTCTTGCAGGGTGCTGAATATTGGTACTATATTGATAATGATGATTATGAAGTGAAACCTATTTATATAAAGTTACTACCTAAAAGATTGATTATGTTTTGTCAGCGACAAGTTGCAAAGTCTGTTCAGCCAAATGTAATTTAGCCTGTCGATGTTCCAGAAATTTGCTTTTCGTGTAAATACTAAAAGTGTTTTTAAAAATACAAATTAAAAATATTACTATTCTGTCTTATTTACTAACTGTATTTCTTTTCTTAAATGGCTTTGAGCATCAACAGTTGATTCTGTCATGACAAGTTTCAATAGGTGTGAAGCGTTCGCTTCTCATATCTGTGTTATATTAACAGAGCTTAAAATACACGGCTGTAACAATAGAATATCATTTTGGCAAGCACCTGAGTGAATCGCTTGTTGTTTATCATGACATGAAATCTGGTAAAGCTTTTGAAATTGAAAGGTCTAAAAAAAATATTCTAGTATACAAAAATTATTGAAACACGAAAACTTTATTGACAAAAAATTATCAATTATATTTTATTACACTTGTGAACTTCAAAAAAACAACTGAAACAATAATTCTTATCACATGTTGAACAGCGGTATCTGGATTGGGGAGTATTGGACTGAGCATGTTTTCTTTGAACTTTAGCGAAGTTTTCGTAGCAAACAATGCACCTACAACAATTTTTAGAACCTAGATCTTGTAACACATGATTGCCTTGCTGGCCCTTCGTATTGTTGTGATGAATTTTCAATTTTGTTAGGTTTGAAACAAGATCTTTGAATTTTGTAATAGTCATTTTCTCATTTGCCACCTCCTGATGTTAAATGTAAGCATTCACTAAAGAAACACCAAGAATTAGTTCAATGGCCAGTTTTCTATACCGTTTGACACTTTGTAATGTGGTTGTGTACGTTTTCATTTGATTCGACAAATCAATGCAAGGTTTGTGCCTGTTATAATCCACTAGAGTGAGAGGTTTTGCAGTTTCTTTACCGCGATGAGTAACAGTTGTGAATTCTGTTGAATGTTTTGTACTAAGAGTACAAACATCACAAGAGTACAAGTATCAAATGAGTGTTTCTTTTCTGAAGCTGATGAGCCTTTGTACGCCCTTTGTCCCGAAGGTTATCAGCTAAAGATTAAACAACCTTTTCGGATGAGGATTGTTGGTTTGGTGCTTTATCCTTTCCACATTAAAATTATATGTGTATATCCTTTTTCAAGACATAATTGGTAAAGCTTGATCACAAATTTATGTCTTTTATTTGTAATGTACTGACAAAAACTTAAGCGCCCCTTAAATGGCACTATGATTTCATCAATACAAACTTGTTCTTTCGGTGTGACAGGTTTTTGGAAATTTTGAATCAATAATTTGGTAAGAGATGATATTTTTTGGAACGTTTCCTCTATCACTTCTTCATTGTTATGAAAATGCCATGATTTTAGAAGCAACTAGAATCTATTTTGAGGCATTACATCTTTAATTCTGTTGTCATAAACTACAGATTTCAACCAGTAAGATTCAATGGAAGGAAACTGACAAAGACCCATCCAAATCAAGATCCCAATGAAGCATTCCATTTCATCTTGATCTGTGTCATGCCATTCGTGAAATCTCGCTTTAGGTGATTTTGTAGAAATTTTGCACTGGTTTCCATATCTATTTGCCTCTGTCACCATCAATTCTAGAACTTCATTTGTTAAAAATATTTGAAAAAATTTGTGAGGACCTTTATCAAAATATTCCTCATGAACTTCTTCTTTGACGCCAGTACTGCTTTCATTGACAGTGAAAACTTTCAAGTTTATTCTGCTTGCATCTTCCCATGACAGTTCGTCATTATTAGCTTGCTCATTCTCACTATTTACGTCTTCAATTTCTTGCATACTTCTTTCAATAACATCATTTATTGTAAACAATGCCATATTGGAATTATCTCTGCATGCGGTAGAAGTAGTTGGCATATTCAAAAATGTTGATTTTGTTGAACTGGTTTGCTATCAGAAGAATCATCAGAAAACTCTGTAACAAACTCATCACACGAATCTTCGAAAGGTTCATTATCAGAACTCTCCGGAAAAAACTCTTTGTTCGAATTGTCAATAGGTTCATTATATTCTTCATCTGAAAGACATTCTTGCAACAAGTGGCTCAATTTCTGTTTAAGTTCTTAACTCATTTTTTGTCACAAATAAACACATGAAAACACTCGAAAAGAAGCATGTAAATGCCACCACAACTAGTTCAGAACGTATAACAATGAGCATAAGCTACATCACACAAAATATATCTAATCTTTTCTTTATCAATTTCTAAGAACAGATATGCTGCTGAGAATCAACTTATAATTCACATGGCCATTGTCGCAAATTTAATGCTGAGTCCGCGAGAATCAAAAGCTGCTTCCCTGAACAAAACAGTGAAAAAACAAGTTTTTATACAAAAAAGCTATCAAGAATATTCAGCAATCGCATTTCTATCCTATGAAAGGCTAAAAAGACATCGGCCAGAAGGTTCATATTTTTCTTGATTATTGCAGCAGCCAACGTGTTAAATGACATTTCACAAAAAGATAAAAGTTTTCAGAAATGAAATGTTTTGTCTTTCTTATGATTTTTCCTCACCAAAAGTAATTATCTCGCACTAGATCACTTTCCGCTAAAACAACTTCCACGATAATTTTATTTCTCTACTGAGAGTAAGGCAAGATATAAAAGTCTTATCTCATTCTCAATACTGTATTTCACTAACTGCAACAGAAACCACGTTTAATAGTATGAACTAAACAAAAGGAAAGCGAAATTATTACACATCACCTCTAGGTGATATTGGGCTTTCATAGGTTCACATATTTCATGTAATATTGAGCCAAAACGACTAAACTTTTCAAGAAAATATATATGACCTTAATGAAAGAACTAATTAAGTAGAAAAAATTGATTTGATGGAAAAATCTCCATCTTCAATTTTGTAGACGCTGAAAAAAAATTAAAACTTTCCCAATTTTCAATTCAGAGTTAAAAGTGAAAATCAAATTCATGCCACCTTTATAAATGTATTTTGCTCCATTTTTACAAGAAATTGAAAGAGAAAACTTTGAAATTGTCCTTGGAGTTTCATGTACAGTGCCCCCCCAAATTCCAAGAATATGCTTCAAAATCACAGAGCATTGAGTGAAGCCAGATCGATTGGGGAATATTAATTTTGGAAAAATTGTAAGAGTAGTTTAGGAGCTAGTGTTGTTCATGGACAGATGGGCGTTTTGGAAGAAAAGACTCATTTTTGGTATCGAAGACCCACAATATCTGAAATCTGACTGCATAACATGTTAGAGGAAATAATTTACTACATATTAGAAGAGGCTTTATGTACTTTTTCTGTTCGAGGGCCACACAACACAAGTTTTTCTGTTGAAAAATCGTGGGTTTTGCCACACAAAACGTTCTCTACACTGTGTATATTACTCCGTATATACAGACACACACGAGAAAGTAAAAAACACTTTTTTTGGTATCAGGAGACTCAAAAACCTGTATTTCTGTTGAAACTCAAAATTGATTTTTGCTTTCATTAGATACTAATATATGTTAACTACTTTGCATATACGTACATATACAAGAAAGTAAAAATTGTGCTCTCAGACAAGAAAATTACAAAAAGGTAATTTTTTTAACTTAAAAAATCTGCCCAGACCCCGGACAAAAGTATGAAAAAAAGGGCATGTCTGGGTGAGAGAATGTCTGGTCACCCTATTATTACCACCTATCAGTACCACTGGTAATATCACTACCATTAATCATACCAACAATACCAAGGATTAGTTTTTCAAAAAATGGTTTCCTTGAGTAGAAGTCTATCCAAAGATTTTTCTTAAAATTTGTGTGCATCCAAAAACTGCAAATTTGAATCTCAGACATGGGGGGAGGATTGCTGAAAAGTGTGTTTCACAAGGCAGCTGAAGAATTAGCAGGGTGCAGTCTACTATTTCTCAATATTAGATATTTAAATAATTTCTTGAACATTCAAATTTACATTCAAACTCCAATAAACTGGTTTCATTACATATTTAAGATAGTTTAAACACTTGTAGGGTAATTAGTGGAATTTAGGAAAGTACACAAATTACAAAACAATTTTAACTTCAGTACCATTAGTGAAGCCTAAAAAATAATGGATAACATTTTTACACAAACAAATTTCATGTTGTGCATGAATTTTAAGATTTAGAAATAAACAATCTGATATGAGTATTTATGAGAGGATTTTTGAAATACTAGTGTTTTTGCCTTTTTGATTTCAATATATTTAATTGGCAATTATGTTGTTTTTGCAAGGACTTTGGAATATAATGGAACATTTTGTTACAATAAAATGTCAGCAAAACCTTAACACATTTATTTGACAACCAAATTTAATACACTTTGTGAGGTGTTTTTTATTAAAAGCACAATTTTCATGAAAAATTAGCAGTAGACATTTAAGGTGTTCAAGAGTATAATTTCATGATTTCAATTATATGACAATGGAAAGAGGAAATTTCAGCCAAAGACTTAGGTGTCCAAATGTTTTAGGCCAATTTTACACAAAATGACTCATTGTGATTGTCCTATATTGAACATTTGATTGACTTCTGCTTATTCTATTCTGCTGAATTAGCACCAATACATAAATTGTGGAACTTCAGAAAAAAAGATATCTTGTCTTTTTTTCCCCCCTAGGAAAATTGTGATAAATTAAGTGATTTTTGATTCACAGACAAGAAAAATTTTTTGCAGAGTGTTAGTAATAAGAAAGTAGGCTATTTAGTGTTAATTTCACAAAAGATCAAAAAATGTTTTCTAGAAAATTGCATTAATGTAATGGACATGTGGTCAACTGCTCAGGACAAGTGTCCATTTGACATAAAAAAATGCATTTGGATATGAAAACTGTTGTTTGGTTGTTGTTTGTACAAAAACTAAGCTGGCAACTTCTTTTCATTTCACAACATATTTACACCAATTTGTAAATTATCCAATATTCTTTGTTTTATTTCCCTTCTTTCATTGCTGACTTACCACAAGCACACTCCAATTGGAGATTGAATGAATGCATATTTTTATAAAAAGAAACAGTGGCATGTTTTTTTTACACTAAATTTAGCAATATTAAATTTTCATTACTTTCCATTTTTACCTTCTTTTTAAAGGCAGCACTCTGTGTCTGATAATCCACTTCAAAAGCAATGCTTCAACTTTTTGTTATTTTTTTTACAGATAATTAAGTGATTCCTTAACTAATTTTATTTTACATAAAATGCTAATGTTAGT